AAAGTCCCGAGGCTCTGGTTACCGTTTGCCTTACCTGAATGGTAGACCTTCGTGACTATGAGTTTCACCCTGTCTGTTGTTTATCACAAATGTTTATAATAAAGACAGCATTAATCGGCAATTACGGTGGTAAGTTATTTCGTGAATTTCCTTCGTAGCATTTTAATAAAGAGCTTTTTTATATTGTTCTTACCACATAATGGATATTCTCCCTTTATGAGTATTGCCTCGCCATGTCGTAATTCCGTTTCATTATTGCGGCATTTTCTCCAGGTATTCAAGGTCTGTATGATTACGGACCGATGGGCTGTGCAATGAAAGCCAATTTGATTGCGGCTTGGCGTCAGCATTTTATTTTGGAAGATCAACTCTTGGAAGTGGACTGCTCAATGCTCACTCCCGCTCCCGTACTGCAAGCCTCAGGTCACGTGGATCGATTTACTGACCTGATGGTCAAAGATGTTAAAACGGGCGAGTGCTTCCGTGCAGATCACCTGGTAAAGGCTAACCTTGAGGCAAAACAAAAACACAAGAAAACAACGGAGGCAGAGAAGCAGGAAATCCAGAAATTACTGGCACAGGTAAGCCTTTTTATCACCACACACTGCACAACGATGTACTTACTGTTTGAGAAAAAAATTTTGTTAATCGTTTCCAATTTCCTTATGCAAACTTTTATCTGTAGGGCAGGTGGAGAGCAGATCCACTTCTGGNTAAAGCATTTAACTTGAGGGCTTTTAATATTCGAACACTCGTTCCGGTTGATCAGCAGGGTTATAATATGTGTACAATGAGCCTAGAGTCTAAAACTCACTTCCCCTTTTCAGCTGATTCCACAGGGTACTTTCTCACACAGAAAATGTCTGGGCTTTTTTATACCCGCTCAGTATAGTATCATAGTGTTGCCAAATGAACGGTACATCCCAGTGCTTTTCACCTATTTTTAGCAGTTTATTTGGGTGGGTAAGAATAAAACCGAGATTTCCTTTGGAAGAGAACGTGAGATCACAAAAAGGTGCATAAACATAAACAACAACAACAGCAACAACGACAAATTGCCAGACCATTAAGCACTACTAGTCCTGATGCTTAACCCTGTTTCGCATCGATTGCCGGGAGAACAACTGTATCGGTCATTCGACTTTAGTGGTTGACTGTCACAAAAAGAAACGTCGCATCCATTCAAGGGGACTTTGTGAGATTCGGCACTTCAAACCCTCGGTTGTTTGGGTTTCTTATCCCCACAAAAAACAAACAAACAAACACGGTATTTCAATAAAAAATCAGAATGTTTTTATTCTTTGTCAACATGTGGGTGATGGTTTTTCATTTTCCTAGGCCAAACGATAACAACAACAACAACAAGAACAACACACCTAGAACGTGTGTGTGTGTGTGTGTGTGCATGGAATAGAAAGTTACCACGAAAATTGAATTTGTAATTCATTCTATTCTGTTAACTTTCCGAAATTCTGTATTGAGTGTTAGAATTACTTGAAAGAGCATTTATGTCGGGATATCCGTCAATAAGTATTTGCTGTGGCATGGAAGAAAATTGTTTGAGAGTCATAGTGCAGGAGGAAATTCTAAAATGGCTAACCAGAAAGGATCATCTCTGTAGTTTCAGAACAAGTTCGTGAAAAATCTTATCTATGTTTCTCTTTCAGTTTTTGCAACCGTTGGCCATGCATTTCCATACGCCGATTTCGGTTGCTGTCTTTTGGTTGAATATTGAGTAGATACACAACTGCCACTGTTTGCGACACCTAGCCATATCACTCAGTGTCTCTAACCACCGGTTACCATGATCTTGGGTCCCCAGAACTAGCAAATGTGCCACTACATGTGAACAAAAAACCTGTAGATTACATTCATAGGTTTTGTGGGCGTGTTACTTCCCGGTCGCACTAACCGAAAAATTGGCTAGAAAGCCAGACTTGCAAGACAACAGGACGGAGCTCAGAGTCCACAGTTCATTGGATCATGCATCCTTTGCACGGAGTCAAACGTCCAAGGTGTTCAATACACCTGGATGCCCAATCGAGCCGGTGATGGCTTCCACAACCACGAACGTGTGTGCTTGGCGCGCCTCTTCTTGGCTGGTTTGAAATCAGAGTTTATAGATAACTCCCCTAGATGAACTGCCAACGGTTTACAAACCTGGATGTTTTGCCTTTTCATCCTCTCACTTTGGTGGGAAAACACCGTCACGAGAAGGCAGTGAGTAGGGCATCCTCAGCAGAGGCTATCTGAGACGCTTGGTCGTATGGGAGCATTTCGCAAGGTGTAAGGGAATGATGATCAGTCACAACTGGAGACACCCACCCGCGACCATACTGCTGAGGCTTTCGGAGGCGAATGGGGAAATTATGACTATTGATCATTGTCATGATATCGTCTCTGGGCTCTTTCCCAAGTCAGATAATCAGTCATTAACTGTACTAGGTGTAGTAGACGGCAGTTAACCTATTGTCCGTGATCTTTCTCAGCCCCAAACTGCCGGTAAATAAAATATCCGTAAAAGTGTTTTGGATTCGTGACCATTTAGGAAAGAGACGAAATAAAAAGATTCCTTTTAGAAGAGACAAAAGCAGTCAGGAAGAGATACTACAATCTTTTTGTGCACAGAAATTTCAGTCGCAGCTCGGTTTCAGTTTAATGGTTCGTGCTTCTGCGTAGATGTGTTTCGGTTTCTTCGACAAACCCACGAAAGATATAAGAAAAGAAGTACCAAATGGCACCGCTACTGGTGCTCGGTCTTTTTCTCCCGTTAGACTACCTCTAGCCCTTACATACCTACCTACGTACAGGGCAACAAAGGTTCAGTGATAGCTTTGTTTAAAACAAGCCAGTTTGCGCACTTTACACTTTCTATTGAAGTTTGTGGACTTTTACTGCCGAGAGATCGCTTGTCCTTCGAAAACCAGTCGAATCCCGGATGAAAAACATCTCGATTTTACGTACTCAAAGAATTTCGTACTGCATACCGTTGTATGATGAACAGCAGACGCGGTAAACCGCAAAGTCACAAGGACCTGCTGTTGACTCACGGGAACCGGCAACCTAAGTAAGCCCCGGGGCTTGGAGTGATGAATCCCATAAGACCCTGCTAGATTTGGTGTGATATTGAGCCAGGTGACGGCGAAGCTGCCTACCGTCAAAGTTGGGTTGACAGTGTGGTTCGAACCNGAAGATCCTAGGACCCAGAACGCGCCGGTGTCAGCATTTCAAAACGTTTTAACCATTACCACCACCACTTGTCGCGATCTACGACCTCAGTGATTTGTGTTTACCGGACATATCAGAATAACACGGTTTAAATGGGGGTGGGAAATGAGAGAAGGTCTGCACACAATACTTATGAATGTCTCATACAGTCTCCTCAAAATTATTATGTTTCAAAATATCAAACTGGCACAACAGCACTCAAATCCACGAGTTGGTTTATCGGTTTCAATTGCCCGGTTTCGGTGTACTGGTGAACTTATAAAAACTGAACTGCTGAAAAGTATGGCGTCGCTAATGGCTTCAATGTTCTTCACATAGATTCAATAAATTCAGGTGGCCGATGAAACAGTATTGGATTTCGCATTGTGAACGGCTTACATATAGTTTGAAGCGTCTAAGCAATTACTGGAGAGTGATCGGTGGTAAACATTTTCCGGTTCCTGGTGCGAAGTAACACTGAGGCGACTCATGCATGACAACATTTCACGATCACATCGGTTTTTGTTGACACGACTGCAAGCGGTGTGAAAATAATGTTTCTAGGGCACAGAACCTTGCTTGTTCAATGTTCAAAGTCCTCCAAATATTGCGAGAAAATATACAAATGAAACGCATGAGCCTTTTACTTTTTTACGGTCAAGCGATTTTTAGTCGGTCATGGAGCACTCCGGACCATAATATTCAAGGCTCGAAACCGGACACCGTCACCTCGTAGAATAATCTGAGTTCTGTTTTTCTCACTCCATATTCGTTTGTGTTTTCTCTCTCTCTCTACCCATTTCTCAGTTGGATAACTTCGGTAGCAAAGAACTGGATGACATTATTCGCCGGTACGAAATGAAAGCACCATCCACAAATAACGAATTGACCGAACCGCAAGAGTTCAATCTTATGTTTGCCACCATGATTGGTCCAACGGGGCAATGTAAAGGGTAAGTTTTATTCATCGTTGAAACATTTTTGATCCCCTTTGTATCCGATCGTTGAAACGGAGAAGAGCGGGAACACATACTGCGAGATGGTAACATCTTTAATCTCCACAGTCGGTGCGATGTAAAACAATCTGGTATTCGTGCACGGAAGTTTTACTAATCATAGTTGTTCAACGGACAACAATCAAGGGAGCGGGAGAATCAGAATCAGTGCCATGTGGCTTTCGTCTGTTGTGCGCATGAATAAATTCCTCTGGATTACCATTATCCAGTAGTGTTCTCCGTGGAAAGCCTCTTCTTATTGCAGGGTGTCAGGAGATTAAATATTGCTTAGAACAGGCAATCCTAGCATGGGATCTAGTACTAATATGGTAATCATGGCATGAAACAGCATCATCAGCGACTTGCCTTATTGTCATGGGTTTGTCCTCCGATACACCGGCTTGTTTCCTTGTGAGCGGAATCGTTTCTTCAAATCAGTACTCACGTCGGTCACAAGCATGACTCTAATGACATTCGATTGTGTCCTTCCGTCGTCGAATTCCTCGAACAAAACCAACAGCTACCGCAAACGTAGCTCGAGATCAAAGGCAATTCCGTCCGACCGTGACCGTCCGTACGAAGACCAAATCTCTGGGAGCGATTTTATTAATTTGATTACAGATTTGGAGACACAGGAAAGATGGTCGGGTTGTGCTGTTTTTTTTTACGGCGAAGGACTTGGTGATCACCGTGGTATCGGATCTATTGTCAATGAACGCCATTGCCTTCACTATCCCATTAGATGTTAATATGTCTCACCAGCGATTCGGGCTTGTTTCTCGCTTCACGGGCCTCGGCCAGAACCCGTCTATGAGCGTCCGTACCACGTGAAACGGTTGGCCAAGTAGTTCCTTGGCGTGGTGCCTCTCCTCTAGCCTGATAATGAGACTGGCAATGAAGATGCAAAACTGTTTCATTGCCATGACTCAAATGAATTACGAAGCTGATTTGAATGCCCTACACACCCTGGAAACAAAAGTACGATGCCTGCCGGGTGACATACAACAGCGATGGGTGGAGGAGGCGGTGATTATTGGCCATTTAGGGAGGGAACCGAACCTCATCGAGCTAACGGAATTCATCCGAAACCGTGCCACTCGCTAACAGTCGCTTCGGACAACTTGCCAGCATGAGTAGGCGAGAAGAAAGGCACCAGGCCAAAGAACGAAACTACGAGATCCCGAGAAGTTTTCGGAACGCGAACAACTATGCGACAGTAGGGGAACGTGGCACACCCAGTTGCCCCAAGTGTCGTTTGAATCACGAGTTTTCCGCGTGCGGTTCCTACAAACGGCCGCACAATGTGAGCTGTTCAAACAGATAAAGCATGCCCCGTGTCTCTCGACTGCTTCCCAACGGTCCGGAACTCCTAGTTTCGCAAATTTCTCGCACGCGACCATCTTCCCTGTGTGTTTCCAAATCTGTAATCAAATTAATAAAATCGCTCCCAGAGATTTGGTCTTCGTACGGACGGTCACGGTCGGACGGAATTGCCTTTGATCTCGAGCTACGTTTGCGGTAGCTGTTGGTTTTGTTCGAGGAATTCGACGACGGAAGGACACAATCGAATGTCATTAGAGTCATGCTTGTGACCGACGTGAGTACTGATTTGAAGAAACGATTCCGCTCACAAGGAAACAAGCCGGTGTATCGGAGGACAAATCCATGACAATAAGGCAAGTCGCTGATGATGCTGTTTCATGCCATGATTACCATATTAGTACTAGATCCCATGCTAGGATTGCCCGTTCTAAGTTGCTCAAGGCCCAAATTACAAAGTGGTAGCTAGACCAAGAATTGGAGCTAGAAATTCAAGAATTATTGGCCCATAGGCGACGTGAGCTGCTGCCGGCAAAGAATGAAACTGAGATGGCTAAAATAGACGTTGCCGTGGAGGAAGAACAAAGAATCGAAGAGGATGCACAGCTGAACAGACGGTCGCAGATCGACCGGTATATAAGGGACTGTGACCTGCTTAGGGCTTCAAAGGGTTTCCTCAATACTAACTCAGGAATCGAGAACTTGAGGGAGCAACCACGTCCAACATCGTCCGCGGTCGTTGATTGCCTGGACCTCCCGAAAGTGGAACTAACCAGCTTCGATGGTGATCTAAAGAAATACTGGACCTTTATTCGACAGTTTGAGACGTATGTTGAGAATAAGGTCACCAGAGAGGAACAAAGTTTGCTATATCTCATACACTACTGTAGAGGAAAAGCCAAGCATACCATCAGGGAGTGCGTTATGTTGCCTAAGGAGAGTGGATATGTGAGAGCCAGAGAGATACTACAACAGAACTTCGGTCAACCACACAGAATAGCAAGGAGTCTGTTAGACGGATCGCTACAGGAAGAGAAACCCGCACCCATCCGGGCGGACACAGTCGTACGGAGAACTGTTCGATCACCCTAATTCAAATGTTCGACCAAGCGTCCTTAGCTCTGTCTCGGTACACTCGAGAGAGAATAGTCAGGTTGCTGTCCAAATCGCTGCATTATAAATGGACTGATTAAGTCGACTCGATCGCAGCCGGGAAGACAACCAACATTCGCAGAACTTCATACGTTCGTCTCAATCAGGGCTACGATTGCTCGCAGCCACTTTAGGAGTGTGGTGGACAAATGCGAACGTACCGTGTTTGGGGAAAGGCTAGTGGAAGGTTCCGGACTAGCGATTCGGACAGAAGACTCCATTTTTCATACCGTTGGGAAAAAGGAATCTAGAGGTTATCGTCTGTATATGTGCCCTCAATTTCACACCCTCGATGTTGACGACCAATGGAAGAAGGTTAGAGAATGGAACCTATGTTTTGGGTGTCTCGGTCATGGTTACCATGTGAGTACGTGTCCATCAAACAAAAAATACCGACTTGTTATTTGGAATCGGACTGGAGGTTCGTATCTGCGAGTCACTCTACCACTGGATGACAGTGGGGCGCAGTAAGTATTGCCCACTCCATGTTGTTTTTCCGTAAGCAGATCGTTATAATGTAGTATTTGACTGCCACCTGATTTTTATATTTGGAAAATTCAACCAACCATCCTCAAGGGAAGCAGAAAGGTTGAGATAAATTGCACTAGACAGTGTAAAAATTATCCATTTTTGTTACACGCAGTTGTATGATGAATGGCAAACAGAAGTGACCTCATAGTCGAAAGACCTGCTGTTCACTGATGGAAACCGGTAACGTAAGCCCCGCAGGACTTGAAGTGTTGAATCACACAGGGTCCCGCTGGGATAGGCGTGATATTGAACCGGACAACAACAAAGCTGCCTACCACCAAAGTTCGGTGGCGGTTGCGTGCGGTTCGGAATTCGAATACCACAGTCCAAAGCACACTGATAATAGCGACTAAACCACAGTGTTTTATTTTTGTGTTGCATTCCACAATAACAAATTTCCCCATATTGTTTCTTTTCACGACGTTCAGGTTTCTGCGTCCAGAAACAGCTCAAGGCATCTTTGTGAACTTTCAACGCCTGTTGCACTTTAATCAAGGCCGAATCCCATTTGGTGCGGCTCAAATCGGTTCGGCTTTCCGGAACGAGATCAGTCCTCGGTCCGGTCTGATCCGGGTTCGTGAGTTCGCTATGGCCGAGATA